TATATATGCAAGTGATCAATAATTTTTAAATTCTTCAGGGTGCTCTGCAATCCCTCCATACTTCACCCACTACAGTCACCTTCACACTCATTTCTGGTGTAAGCCACACCCACTTTCTGTTTATAATTTAGGTTTTGTTCAGGAATCCTTGCTGAAGTCGAAGTATTGGTATTTGCATCTGTGTTAAACTTTTTGAACAATACATACCCCTAATAAAAACAATCATTAGTTGCAGCCCTGCTGCAGAACTCTGTGTTCCTGAAAGAGTTTGCAGGCTTTTCCCGAATATGGGCTTTCTTGGCCTCAGACCTCGTTTTGGCTCTTTTATCACTCGTTCAAATGTCACATCAGGCCTTGCAAAATGCTGAGCTTCGCTCCCTTTTGTAGCTCAGACACAAGTCATTAAGCAGGCTTCGTTACCTGTCGTCAAGCCACGCCTGACGTGACCTTTTGCAGAGGTTCTTGATGAAGAATAATGGGAACGTCATGACGGCGACCAGACAGCGTTCGCCTTCTTAGGTTGTGACCTTGAAAGGGTTGGATATTCTGTTTAGTGCTATGCTGACACTCTGCTTGTTTAGCGTATCATTGCTGTTGTAAGAAATCGTCAAATCTCTAAAATAGTAACTTTTTATAGGAGGACGAAGATTCTTAACACCTTTTCACAGTAGCCACAAAACGCAAATTCTGCCTGTGTGAGAGGTCCCTTAGTCTAACTGAAAGTGTTCTATTTGACTTGTATTAACTAAAAATATTCAAATTGATTGCCATATGACCAGAGTCATTCTGAGTGGTCTGATGTGAAATACTCCATCGTAGAGAAATCTGCCTGATGCCCGAGAGCTTGTTTTATGATAGTTTTATAATAAGAATTAGGCCTAAAATTATTATTTTCTTTTTTAATCTGTTCATCGTGTAAATAGTCCACAAAGAAAACTGCTTGACCATAAACATCACGTATAAAAACTCAGGCATCTAAGTTCACTGCTGGTTTTGGATAGTAAAGAACATGACTGTGTGCATGTTCTTTATCAAACCACTCCGAATGACTTTGTTTACATCCCAACAATTGACTAGTACAAAAATTTTGAAAAATCGGTGGAATTCCCCCACTTGATTCACTGTCCAAACTTTCCATTGGTCCTTTTTTTGTGAAATGTGCGCACAATCTGTCATTTTTAAAATGGCGTGGAAAATGTAAACCATAAGAAATGACAATGCTGTGAAGTTTTCTGTGGACAGTGACGACACGCAGCCCTTTGTTAGTGTAGCAAAAGAAAAGCGGTTGAAACTGAGGAATGGAGTTGGTTGTTTAGAAATTGTTCTGCTGTCTAACTGGCTCCAGCAGTACACATCCCCCCATTTCCCCCTGACCGTTGCTTGTTGTGCTTTTCGTTCTGACGGATCTATGAAGCAGCTATGCGTGAAATAGACCCCTGCTCCAAAAACGGCCCACTTTTTCCCGGTAATGAGCCTGGATGCAATAACTTATCCAAAGTTTTGGAGACTGATTGATGGACTGCTGCGCTGTGGAGTGTTGAGTAGGAAGTAGTGATGCTGTACTGGCATCATTATAAATACGATCCCCCCCCCATTTTCCATATGATTCCACTGAAGCGTAGTTCCATTTGTGGGCTGTACGTCTGCTCCCTCAGACTTCACTATAAGACAGAGGAAGCTTAATTTAGATGACTCTTTTACCCAAACAGCTCAGTCTTGCTGGCTCTTGTTTCCTCTCCTCATGGACTGTACCTGCTGCCTCTGTCAGCTCTTCTTTGCTTATCAGGCCATCATGTTGCTCTCAGATAAAGTTAATTACATCGAGGCCTCATTTGCAGGGTGATATAAGCCATGGACACAGTGCACTGTCCTGCTGCATGACTCCCGTCACTTCATATTCATCCTCCTCCCGCTGTAGCACGATAGTCTGGTCAGGCAGCGAGCTTGTGGCTTTCTGTTTTGAGTGTATCTGGAGCTGAGAGGGCTTTGCATGAGTTTGCTTGAAACATCTTGATTGAGTTTAGTTCTTAGCAAACTGAAATGTGGTTTTACAGTTAGGCCCTGACGCTGCATCACCTCCAGATCATGAGTAGGTTTGTCTTCTATAAAGTGAGAAGTTGCAGCTTTCTCTAGATGAGGTCACTCCCCTTGCCCCAGATGTGTGAGCAGTAGATATGTCTAAACTCAGTATCACGATATCTCAGGAAGTTTTTACACTATGTTATGATAATTATGTTTTCTGACATCTGATAAGTTAACAGGCAAAATATTGCCACATGTTAAAAATACTATCAAAACCATGAATCCAATTGCTTAAATTCAGTATTTCACACACTGTACTGTAGGGCTGCAGGATAAATTGTATTTTATCGTTATCACAATATGACCAAACAGATCAAATTACCTCATAGTGCCAGAGAGACACATTACATTACCGGCACAAACTGTTACAACCCTGGTCTGTCGCAGGAGACAAGTACCTTAACCATTTGGCCAAACAGCCAACTACAAAATACACACTTGGTTACCTTAAAATATCGGCCCACGACTTTAATGGAAGCTTTAATGGAAATTCAGTTCAAAACAGCTGCAGCAAAGGGGGAAACACGCTCAGTACGCAGGCTGGCTCAGGCTCTGCTGTTTTCCTGCTAGCCAGCATTCAAAATAAAAACTACACCTTTCAAAATAAGAGTCCTGCACCAGCTAAGAAAAAAAGCAAGAACAGCATTATTTTCAAACTAAATACAACCCGGCCTGTCTGACACTAATATTTAATAGCTAAGCAAAAAAATAAAATAAAACAAGAATGTATATTTCTTCTTGTGTGCCTGTATAAAAAAATAAATAAATATAAATTTGGTTTTGTAGACTTTATAGAAAAAGTTGTTTGAGGTAATACTTACTTAAGTGCACAAAAAATGTGATTACAGTGCTGGTAAGTAGTTGTTAGTATTTCTTTTTATTTTGCAGAATAGTAAACGGTGCTTTACTAATTTTGTATTTTGCTATTTGTTTAAAGAGGGATGTAAAGAGAGGTTAGTTAGATATCTGTTTACACATCCCAAACAATGTCTACACTTACGTTACGTCCACTAAGAGACACATTATTTTAATAGTAAGTTATTGCTTCTCATATTGTCATCATGAAATCCAACAGCTTTATCGAACATCGCATTTTATGTCCGTATCGTGCAGCCCTACTGTTCTACACTAAAACCAGTTAAACAGGACTAATTGTACTCTTTTTAATTAAACCTGCAGTTGGGAAGTGAATTTTGTAAGTACTGATAATAGCCACAATATGCTCTGAAATTGCCCAGTTCTAGTGAACAGGTCTTTGGCATCATTACGAGTGCTTTAATGTGTTTCTCTCATTTTGTTTGTGTGTTTGCATGTAAACAGTGTTGTCACTGTTGGTTTAGTAATCGAATGATCCTCTAATTATTTTGTCAATTACGCAAGTAGTGAGTTTTAAAAAAGGCTAAACAGTTAAAATTGACTTAATACACAGTCATATGCAAACGTTTGGGCAAATGACAAGCTTTGCTGAAAAAAGTTAATACATCCTCTATTGACAGCACCTGCATATTTTACATTTTTTTTTAAAGTTTGTTCCCTGTAAAGGATGTGTTAACTTATTTTTACATAGAACGTCAACAGATATTGACTCACTGTGGCTAAAGTGTGTTTGTACTCCACTTTGTGGGAGTGCTGCTCTGTCTGTGGGCCGTTACTGACCCATGTGTGTGTGGGGTGCTGACTGGCAGTGTGAACCAAGGCTGTCTGTGATTAGTTTGAGCTCTATGTGAGCTCATGCCGGAGGGCCAGGCTGCGGAGCTGCGCACTGAGGCCCCCGTGACTGACACTGGCTTATTAAAGTCTGGAGTGAGGACAGAAGGCTCAGTCCCTTATGCATGGCTTACACTCTTCGCCTTGCCATGGGGAGAGGCATGTGGAGATGGAGAGTCAGCAAAAGACAGGGAAGCATGGCCAGTGCAAGTGTGTGTGTGTGTGTGTGTGTGTGTGTGTGTGTGTGTGTGTGTGTGTGTGTGTGTGTGGAAGTAGGATTTTCTCAATGCTTTTTCTCAAAAGACTAAAGAAATATGTCAACCGATACAAAGATCCAGAAAAATAAAAACACCTGATGTTTTGGATTGCACACAAAAAAATATTGATAGAAACTCCAACCTAAAACTAGAGTTTAATATGTTACTTGTCATGTTATGTAGTATTCTGAATGAGGTAGACTGGTGCTTGATTTCACGCACTAATACTAGTTCATCATTTGCCCTCAAATCTCCGCTTGTTTCCACGTCATACGACACAGTTCACTATTTTGTATCCTTTTTCTGATCATCTATCAATGTTCTCTTACCACAATACACAGCATGCATTATACAAGTATGTCATACAGCCCACCCACTCCCCTCCCCCCATGAAAAAGAAATCCACTGATGTACCACTGATATGGAGGCTAACAAGTGAACACATGATAATCAGCTTTCTAACATTACTACATTACTTATAGTAATGTTTACTATGTGACTTTGTTCTGCATAATCTAGTGAAAGGAAAAAAGAAAACAACTTGCTTCTAAAAATCTCAGCCAAAGCAGTTGTAGTTTTTCCAAAAGCTCCTCCTGCCTTCAAGATACATCATCAAAAGGGGGATTTTCCTAGTATTAAAACCAGACAATCTTAGTCTAGAGGCTATTATCACATTACTGTAGGAGGCGAGTAGGCATGTTTTCAGCAGATGAAGTAACAGTAAAATTTTTCATTTTTACTGGAGTCTTCCTTTAACAGTGAATAAGTCAGCTAGACCAGTAAACTTGCGCTTATTTGCTTTGGTTTCATGATTCTACTGGCTTTTGTTCATAATCATCTACATTGGGGTTCTGGGACAGTTTACTGTGAAATAATGCCTCAGGTGTTACTTTCACTGTTGCAGAGGCTTATGTGGCTGTGTCTCAAATAAACTTCTCCCTCTTCCCTCTGCAGTGCCCTTAAAGACAGCCGCTTTCCCCCTATGACGAGGGACGAGCTGCCGCGCCTCTTCTGCTCAGTGTCTCTGCTCACCAACTTTGAGGATGTTGGTGATTACCTAGACTGGGAGGTAAGAGCCGAACATCAGCACTCCACCTTGCATAAACAGAGCGTTCTTCATATTGAAGCCTTTGACTTGTATTAACTATACAAGAAAGATCAGTAGTTATGAATGCATGCACCATGCCTAAAGGAACGAGTGTGTTTTTGTGTGTGTGTGCTTGTGTTTTATTGGTAGACGGAGGGAAATAGGCAATAATTAATAAAAAAAAAAAGCTAAGAATTGTACAAATTATTTTGTTTTTTCAAGATGCATTGTATGATTTTACTAAATAATAATAAATTAATGTGAATGTGAGTTGTTTTGCTCATTTCTAGTAAGATGGTATTGAGATCCACAGCAATTTCAAATGCCTGCCCAATGCCATTATGTCAGTATTGCAGACTCCATGTCTTCTGCTTTGTCACTAGATATGTAGGTATACTATTTGAGATGCTGTTAGCCAACAGTATCACATGAATCAAAGAATGAGACGCTTACAGACCAAAACGCTGTCTGTGAGCGCTCTAATTAGTCGCGTTCCCCGCAGGCCTGTCTCAGTTCTGTTGCTGGATGTCTGAAGGTGGCAGGTAGAGACAGGTGTTGTGTCCACCCTTGGGTGATCCTGTTGAGGAGGTATTCCCTGTAGAGTACATTATGACTCTCAAACAGCCTGCTGAAGTGCCGATTCAAAACTCTGTAGATCAGCACTGAGCTGGAAACTAGTGCTCAACTCTCATCTCCACTATTGAGCTGTAGTTCTCCTGCTGTCTCTGATATACCTCTCGTCCATCTGGTTCACTTTAATATGACTGAAACCTGTTTCACTTGCATCTCTCCTTGACTGAATGTAATTAGGAAAGCTTCCATATCCTCTGTAATTCTTCTACATTAGACAAGCCCCAGTGCCCCTGAAGAAAGAACAGTTGGCCCCTATATAAAATTACTTTGAATTAATTAGAAGAAGCCAATGTAGTTTGCTTATTCATTTGCTACTTATATCTCAACTAAGTCTGTATCTACTGTAGACTAATGGTTAAGGTGTATTGTAGTATAGTGAAGTGTATAGTGACTTGAAAGTTTGAGTGTTGTTAGTCCCACTCTCACCCAGTGAAAATCTATACCGTTTGTCTTGCTCCGGCCCGCAACCTAAGTGTTTTGTCCCATTCCCAGCTGCAGTCCAGCGTAGCTGGTTTCTGTCTGCTTTAGTCACGATTTAAAAATGACTGCTACATATCACACTTGCCTTTAGTTGGCTTTATTTTTCTGAATTCATCTTTCTTATGAGCACTATCCACACCTGTCTGAAGGCTCTGACATCTCTGTGGCCATGTTCACATGAGTGGTTGCTTAACTGTTTAGAAAGAGTTTATTCATTTTCAGTATTGTGCTGCTATGACACGTGAATTGCTTCTTAAATTAACACTACTGAATTTCTTTGTGCCTTTAAAGCATTTTCCTAGTTTCCTTCTTATAACAATTAGTAAGTATAATAGTAGTCCAGGTTGAAATTCAGCTGTTGCCCTGATAGAATCCGCGATTGTAGCCCTCTTGTTTAAATACAGCTTTTAAATGACTTAAAGCAAAAAGCCCAGAACTGTTTATAAAGTTTGCTGAGAATTTTAACTTTTTAAATGCTATTATATGATTGGTCAGGTTTAATATAACCAGGGACATGAACTTAGAAGATTAAAAAAAAAGATCCATTTTGATTTCAGATTGAATTTCACTGTCTCAAAATGGCCAACCCAAGTCTTTATCTGTACGCTGTGTAAATAACACCCAGTGGACACTGGTTGCTCTACATAGATGTGAGAAGATATCAGAGATGCCTGTCTTGCTCAGTTGAAACTACCTCCCAGCTCTAATTAGCCTAAGCTGAGTTCTTTTGTTTTAACCGACGTTGCCTCAGCTGCAGCTGCCTTACTTTCCTTTCTCTCTGTTTCCCTGTGGAGTGGGCCACAAATCCCCCAGCCTGAAGAAGAGGCGGTCAGGCCACGGAGGGAGAAAAGAGGCTTTGCCACATTAGCCGCTCACCGCGTCCTCGCCTCCTAATGAAATGTGTGGCCCCATAGGCTAAGCCTGGTATTACACTTCCAGCGCTGATGATTCACAATCACACATGCTCACACGCACACACTGTGTGGACAGTAGTTCCGTCACTGGCTGTCCTCAGTGACCCACTGTGGCAGAGACAGAAAAGCGCCCCGGGGGAGGAGCGATGACGTGTATGGCCCAGTAGCTGACCACAGAGAGAACAATTCCTGACCTCGTCCACCTCATTGTTACCCCAGGCCCACTGCTGGGCTCGTATCCTGTCCCTCCATTCATTCCCCTTCTCCTCTGTGCCCTCCCCCATTCAGCACTCACTCTAATCCTGCCTCTTTCCAATCCATTCTCTGCCTCACACCGCTTCAAAAGCAGACATAAGAGCGTCACAAGATGTACCTTTTCTTTGTGCGTTTCGCTCGTCCGTAATCTGTTTGCCAACTCTGCAGCTTTTAATCCCCCAGCCTGTTGACGAAGACAACATTCTTTGCTTCAGAAAACATGAATGACGGATGTCAGTTTGTGCTGCTGCATTTAGCCCCAGAACTTTATCCTACTCTTCCTTGGCCCGAGGGGGACTCACTTTGACCCAGTTTGATCTCACATTCTCATTAAGCACATTCTCCTCAAGGAAGAGAATTCTTTGTCGATTCAGTGATTGCAAGTTGGCCAGCAAAGCAGCTCCAAATCATATTTCCATTATCATGCTTTACAGGTGGTTTGAGGTTCTTCTAATCAAATGCTGTCTGTGATTTCTGCCAAACATAGGTTCTGGTACTGTCACCAAACGACTTTCTTTGACTCCTCTGTCCACGCACATTGTTCCAGAAGTCCTGGTCCTTGCCTAGATATTCAATAGCAAACATTAGTCTTGCATTGATGTCCTTTTTAGATAGCAAAGGCTTCTTCCCTTTTAGGTCAGATTTGTGCAGTGTTTTTCTAATGCTAGATGCTCTTTTACATGAACAGTGGCAACAGCTACGTGCAGATCCTGTGATTAGATTTTGGGGTTGTTTTAGTATCGTAAGGTCTGCTCTTGGTTTAGATTTGCTGGGGTAGCCTAGTCTGGACAAGTTGGCAGTGGTTTTAAATCTTTTCCGTTTGTAGATGATCTTCTGGACAGTGGAATGATTGATTTCCAATGTTTTGGATCTTCTTAAACCCCTTCTCAGGCTCATAGACATCTACAACTTTTTCCTTCTGAAGGTCTTAGAGAGATTTTTTTATCTCGGCATGATGACGCCACACACTCTAATAACAAAGAGCAAACTAGTTCACGTATCTAAGATTTAAATAAGACAAGTTCCTCTAAGATGTTTTGTAACGGTGTTCAAATCATTAGCACCTGCTTCAATTTCACACCGTTGAAGTAGTGTTATATGTGGCGATGTACTTAGTTTTTCCACATAAGAAAACTGCTTATTGTATAAAGGATGGCAAAAACTGTAATTGTCACTTGTTAAACTGCAGCACCTTTATCTGTCATCATTGTTTAAATGTCTATCTCCAAATACAGTAAATAAATAGTAATTGTGCACTAAAATTGACAAATGTCATTGTCTGTGTAGAGAATGTTAACTCCGTTTCATTTATAAAATTTAAATTTTAGTTATTGTTGCTGTAGGGTGGAGCTGCTCTTACTACCTTGTGGTTTTAGTTTCTGTTTATGCTATGATGTCTGTGTGTGTGTGTATATGGGATAGTTTGGATAGGTCTGGCTATATTAGTAAAATAGTAAAATGTGGATTGTCTGTTTGGCCAATTCATGTATACTGGCTGGATTCTAATAACTTTTAACGTCACAATATACTACGTCTATGTCCTGCAGCCCTTCTAGAGAACTTCAAGCATTACTTTCTTTGATGAAATCGTTCATTCACAGAAACACAAAAAGGCTCTCACGCAAAGATTTGTGCCAGTGCAGAGCTACGAGTTCTATGGCTAATGCCGTGGGCTCTCTTTCACTTGCCTTTACAGTGCCCTTTTCATTTAAAATGCTCATCACATACTTGCTTTGTTTCCCTAGAGATCAGAAAACAGTCACATTTAATCTATAATTTTACATTAGTTGGCACGCCACACATAAATATGCTGTGATTAGTAGTCCCATGATTCTGTGTGTCCGATGACTTTTGTGCATGTGGCTTTTCATATGGTACTTTCTGCGGTGTTTAAACATAAGACAGTGTTTTTTGTTCTGCCCTGTTTTTCTTCAGTTTAGTTGTAGTCAGGTCCCAAAGTAATATCTCTCTTCCACATCGTAAGCTAATTCTGTGTCGCAAGACCGTACCACAGATGTAGGAAGACAAAAGCTATGACTTCCCTCCTCTGATGCATATGAAACCTGCCAAGCATAATTTTGATCAGTTTGTTCTGGGGATGACTATTGAAATGTGATGTTTGTTATATGTAATTAACCTTGTACTCACATTGCTGGTGTCAAGATGGACTATTCTGATATTCATTGCTTTCTTTTCTTCTCCTCTTTCTTTTGCTTTTGTGTTCACTTCTAGGTGGGTGTTCACGGCATTAGGATAGAATTTTTCAATGAAAAAGGATCAAAGCGCACCGCCACCTACCTGCCAGAGGTTGCGAAGGAGCAAGGTGAGAAGATTAAAATCTCTGCCAGACCAACACATGGAGAGAGTGAGAACGGAACCAATTGACCTATTCGTGGCAGTGTGTCCCCACATTGCTTACTTTCTCAAGCATTGAGTGTTTATATAGTGCACTCCTTTTAGCAGTGTTTTCATTTAAACTGCAAATGTGAAAGAATGGGAGGTCTGCACTCACCCATTTTAACAGCAGTCAGCTCATTGATGTTATAGACGATGTTAGACCATGTTCCAGAAAGCAGATAGCAACTTTATTTTTCCTTTCATTTCACAGAACCTTTCAACTAAAACTCCCACCTACTCTTTTGAATGTCTTTGCTGTACTGTAACAAGTTACCTGGGCATGGATGGGTCAGTTGGTCCGGATAGTCCAAGAAAAGTTTCTCTGACTTGTAGCAATAGTGGAGCACCTGTTGGTGTTTTAAAGGAACCATGTGCAGCACATTCTCAGTCATAGAGAAAAACCATTTAACCAGGCAAAGAATGGTTCTTGGAGTTTTCTTGGTTCTTTATATAACTGTTGCCTTTAATAAAGAACCTATGAGGAACGCTTTTCTTTTAAGGATGCAGAATAAGAATTTTCTGTGCAATGCAGGATGGGACCACATTCAGACCATAGATTCCTTACTTCGAAAGGGAGGTTACAAAGCCCCCATCACAAACGACTTCAGGAAGACCATCAAATTGACCAGGTAAGATTTCTTATTAACACTTCTTTGGAACTACTTTGTTAAAGTTAAGTTATCCTTTATTAATCCCACAACGGGGAAATTCACCTCCACATGTAACCCATCTGTGCTGTGAAACCAGATACACACTAGTGAACGCACACACACTAGGGGGCAGTGAGCACACTTGGCCAGGGTGGTGGGTAGCCTTATCCACGGCCCCCTTTTAGCAGTTGGGGGTTGGGTGCCTTGCTCAGAGGCACTTCAGTCATGTCCTGTCAGCTCAGGGGATCAAACCGGCGACCTTTGGGTCACAAGGCTGGTTCGCTAACCTCCAGCCCATGACTGCCCCCCAATTCGTTAATTAATTTATGCAATTGCTTCGATTGCTTCACTTAACCATGTGAAGTAGCTAGAAAGCTTTTGTACCTATGTGCTGTCTTTTTTAAATAACTGAAACAATCTTTTTTAAGCTCCTGTTCATGTTTTGTGAAGGAAATCATTCTGTATGTGGAAGGCTGCTGTACGGCTTTATCAGTTTAATAAGCACAAAAATGGATTGGGGGGGTCTGCTACAGAATGTGCTAAAGACATATAACATATCAGGGCTGATTCAGGACGCGGACTAATGTTACTAAGAAAACTTGTTAAAAATTGATTGAGACAAAATAATTGCCTTTATGCCTGTGTTTTAACATTTAAATGACATTTAAATTGTCCAACTTGATTGACAGTCATGATAGATGGAAACTAGTATAGATGGATAGGAAGTGTAGATAGATGGAAATAGTATCTCAAATTGTTTGCAATTTGAGATACTATTGTCAATCGGCTCAAGCCTATTGCACACAGTACCAGAGTAAATGCCCAAATACAGTAATATGAGGAACTATGTGAGACATGACATAAACACAAATAGATTCATTTGAAAGATCACAGAACCTACACAGAACCCCTGTTCACACTTGGTGTCCTCCTCGAGGTGTCTGATCATAAGTGGACAGTGAAACGTATTGCCGTTTACACCTGCCATTTCCATGCATCTCTAGTGACCACTTGAGATTGCATTTTGAGACTTGAGGAATAGTACAATGTGCATTTATATCACACTCTTGCTGCATTTATTGTCTAAAAACAATGTATCGTGGGTAACTGAGTACATGGGCAGGCTGTTACAACCATTAGGATTGCACGGATTGCCAACACAGCTTTTTAACAAACATGAGAAGGTAGCTGTGCTACTGTTTGCCCGTGCTGTGGTGACGCAGTTGTTTAGGTGTTCTCTGCTGATGGTGGGACGCTTTGGGATGCTTTACCGTTCACACAACAAATGTTATGTGGTCATATGCGTCCACATCACTCGATGTGATTGGATTGAGTGATCGGATCACCGCGTCCCAAAGACGTAATGGCTGTAATGATGTATGCACATCTCTGCATTGATTTATGAAGATTTCGTACGACGTGGAACAAGTGAAATTAACTGAGGTTAAGTTGTAAGGCAAAAGAGTCCCCAAGGAAAACATCATGTACATTACAAAAACTCAAAAGGCACGTATAGATTCACTGGTCGTTTTGGATAGTAAAGCAAATTGGCTATATGCGTTGTGACACCTGGTTCCTACAAACACTGTGAAGAAATCATTTGACATGAAATCACTCTGTGACTTTACATCACAACCATTGAGTTATACGGAAATGTCAAAAAAATGGAGAAATTCCTCTGGACACGTAGCATTTGTCTGCAAATTTACACAATTGCACAATTTCCACTTATTTACTGAGATTAACTGTTGGAAAAAATAAAATATACAACTTAAAATGTGGCACAACTTTTGCACAGGCCACACTTTGTTTTAGTTTTTGCCCCCAGTCTGTTAAATCCAGCAAATAAATGGTAATTGTGCATTAAAATGTGCAGAAGTGTTTTCTCTGTAGAGGAAGTGTGAACTTATTTTCACTTAAAAAATCAGCAGGGGCACTAGTTAATTGACTAGGGGCACCCAAACTTTTAATATGACCATGATCATGTCAGAGCAGAGCTTATTATCAGGATATTATTTTTTAATATTCTTAAACACCTCTGTATTTTTGACACCATCTGAACTTGACACCAAGTGAACTTGCAAGTGGAGGTGAGAACTGTATAATATGAAGGCACCTTACTGTTACATCAAAAAAAATGTAAGTGATTTGTAAGGTTCCTGTACTCTTCCTGAACTGTATGAATGGTTAACAATAAGGAATTTGTCATGGGAAGATGGACAATAAACATCAATACAATCTTCTGTTTCGTTCCTCATGACTTGTGGCTTCTTGTGTTTGTGGGACCACATGACCAGCTAAGGACGTCAGTGCCTCTTTTAAATCTCTTGGAGAGAGTCTTGATGAGCCACATAGAGCACTTATCACTGATCCATCACCTGCACCTGTGTGCTTCTTCCACTCAACCAAGCAGGACTTGCGTGCAGTGGCATCAGAGACCCATGCTGGCGTCCGAGTCGTAGCGATTACTCAGCTTGCTTTAGGGCGAACTGTCAGGATGACCTTGCTTCCATGTCCCAAACACTAACCTAAATCTATGTTACATGGCAGCCTTTTCGGCTCCTTGCAGTTCTTGTCCGACTCAAAGCTTCTTGGAAATGAAACAAGCACAGATGCCGCCGTGACAATGAATTTTTTCCACTTTCCATATTGATTTATGGATAAGCTGAAAACTGTAACAGTGTAATCATTTGTAATAAGACCACTGTGCGGAGATGTGAATGAACTGGATGAACTTGAATGAACTGAATGAGCCTCATTCGTACAGTTTGTTACAGCAGTGATAGAATAACCCATAAATATTAAGAAATTACTAATAATTATTATAAATAAAGAGTATTGAAATATAATCTAGTGTCTAATAGTATTTCTGTCAAAACTGTCTATTGCTGAATAAAATAACAGCAGTTTATGACAAGTGATTCTAACTTTTGAACTCTTGTATATGCTGATTCTCAGTCTGATCCAGTATTGTGTTTTCCACATAATTACGCACAGTACACACTTCAGGTGTGTTAAAAATAACAAATTAATTTGCAGTTTGGACAGGTATGCTATAGTTTACTGAACCAACTGTTTTGGGGACGTGGTTGACTTTTTTGCTAAGACCATTTTATAAATTGATGTAATATTTTATTGATATTGACTTAAAAGACCAATCCAATGATTCTAGTGACCAGGTCCTTTAAAATGCTGCAGTAAAATCACTTAATCTTTGATTTTTCTTCTTGAGATACATAATGGGTTTTTTTTTGTTTGGGTTTTAAAACAATTGTTTTAGTGTTTCAAACTGCTTAGACGTGCAGTGTAACCTGCTCCCTTCTCTCAGCTTTGAGCACTCTGCACGCTGCGAATAGCCTTTATATACCTGAAGATGCACGCCACAGAACATTTCCATGAGACTTCTGTGTTTACACCAGGGACTTCCCTGGTAATGGTACCTTTTAAACCTATTAATATTTTCATAGCAGTCGCTGATCACATATGGAATATGAACTGGACCCATGCCGATCGCACGTGGAACGAGTTGCTCTCCTCTTTTTCCACCCCTTCAGTTTAGTAAATTCCAGAGCGATCTGCTTTCCCTTTTCATGTTCTCGCAAGACGGAAACAGCTGAAGCCTTCACTTGGAGGAGACCCGCCAGAAGCTCAAGTGTGAAAGGGCCTGAAGCCTCGCCTGCTGGTAGAAGAAGAGCTAGAGCCAAACGACAAGCCTCAATCTAGACACTAGCGACTGAATCCCTGCTGACGTTTTTCAGCTCCATCTGGTTTTGTCAAACCTGAGGACTGTTCGCTTGCTCTAGCTTCGTCTCCATCACTCCATTTTCTCCAACCTTTTCCTTCTCAGTACCTTCGGTAGGACATTGTGCGGACACTCTTGGGTCCTTCCAACTTACTAACAGGCTCTCTGCTCATTCAGGCATGTATGCAGCTCTGGAGTGACTGTACCTTTCTCGTGCATGCATAGGTGTCTCCTGCCATGCGTCTGCCAGCACAAAGCCTACATACATGCACACCTGGGATGCTTTTTCAGACGTTGAATGATTTACGAGTTTGAGGTTAAATATTGATGCTTGAACAGTTGACCAGAGAAGGACAAAACCTGGCTTTGTTGTGAGGCTGTGAAGGAGATTCCACTCGTTTGTTCAGTTGAAAAAAAATAAATAAAAAGGCTTTGAGGGCTGCATAGGTTGAGCTCTAAAAGATTTTGTTTGGCCTCAATAAAGGAGCTAAATGTAAAGTGTTTAAATTTCATATAGTAATTTTCAAAATTTTGGAAACAGCCCTGCCTTTCAGTGCTTCCCTCTTAGCCTCACTTTCAAAATACATGCTCAGATGCAGCCTAGGCCGGAACGCCTGAATGCTGGTGCTTGCTCAATTCAAATCCTTTGTCTCAAATGATGCCTCAAGTGGATGTCAATGCAGCTAACATTAGCTAACACGAGAACGTTGCCCCTGTTGGTCTTTCAGCGCCCAGAGCCCACTTTGTTAGCTTCAGAGGCTATGCAAAATATTTACCTGTCTAGCAGGTATCAGGATCCAAAGCAAGATCAGTGTCACTTTTTGTGCCCTTCAGCTTCCTTAGTTCTGTCCAGCTTCAGAAAGCTACTCTGATGTTTGCTCTAGATCTGTCATCCTTATCACTTTCCATTCTTCCAATTTTTCCATATTTTGATTGGCCATATAACCAGTTATTGTTAGTAACAGGGATGGAAATGTTTGTGTTGCCTTTATTTCTTTGAACTAACAAGCTGTCAGTGTGGATCTTAGCATTTAATTAGAATTCAGGTTTCTAGCTCACAAGCTACAAGACTTGGCTACGACTTTCCCATATGTGCTGTGGATGTGCAACATTATGCCTTCTTGTCCAGATTGGTTGAGTGTTGGTTGACCTCATGGCTGTCCACATTTGTTACACCCCATTTGTCCTCTCAGCCTTTTTATTGTCTCTTTTATTGTCTATTACTGGAACGTGAGGGGGATTATACAGTGAGCATTCTGACATGATCAGGGACCCACCTTTGCTCTTAGGGAATACCCCCACTGAGAATGATCTGAAAAATGTTGTTTATTTGAAATTCAAGAGACAGCACAGTATGATCTGGCATCATGTTGGCTTGCAATAGATGAACAGGTTGCCTGCCATCCTTCCTTTCTATTGACAGTGTGTCAGATTAGGCCTAGGGGATAATAATTATTAAAATCAAATAGTTGTTTTGTATTAATAATGTATTTGAGGTTTTAAAATGTAGGAGTATCAACCGAAATACCAACCAGAATACCACAGAGTATTTCTGTGTTTAGACTGCTGATTCCATTTGTTTGTTTGTTTGTTTGTATGTATGAATAAATAAATAAATAAATAAATAGGCTTTGTCTAAATTGCAATCCATGTTATGAGGATCAGTGCTTCTTGATCGGTCTGTAGTCCGTAATCAGTTATGATTAAAGCCACACTCACTTTGTTTGTAATTAATAAGAAGTTAATGAGAAAATATTTCACTGAGGAATCAAGGAATTGTTATGGACATTTGTAATCAGTGCTAATGAGGTGTAGGATGATTATGCTGTTGTGTTTCAGTATTGGTTACAAAGGCTTAATCTTTGATCGGTTACTACTCCAGTACACTAGGTGTCAGCTGTGTGCCTTTTATTGGCTAGACAGAGGGGGAGAAGACAAGCTGGGGGCAGCTAGCAGCATTAGTCAGGTTGCTAATTCAATTATGGAGCTTAAATAAATGCTTAGAGTTTGGAGTAAATGTTTCAGAACAAGACGAAAAAAAAAAAAATTAAAAACTGCAGTGTGGAATTGGTTTGGTTTTCTTAAATCAGGTAAACTGCTGAAACTGACGTTCTTAAAAGATATTATGCAAAAAAGCAGAGATTGCACCTTTATTTACATTTTTATTTATATTTCTGTTCAGTCTTAATAATAATTTTGCATCTTTCAGCAGAATGCATTAGGAAATACAATATAATAGTTACTGTTTCGAGTCACATAATATGGACAAATATATTGTGATAGATTTTAGGCCACATCACCGAGCCATGCAGTATGGCTGGGAGCAGAACTGAATCCAGTAGAAAGCAGTAGACTGCTGAACGGAATACTCCTCTGAACCACTGTGCTAAAAAAAAAAACTTTCCTTTTTCTTCCAGGTACCGTAGCGAAAAGATGACTATGAGCTACGCGGAGTACATCGCCCATCGCCAGCACCACCACTACCAGAACGGCATCGGGCACCCTCTCCCCCCCTACAACCATTATTCCTGACAGCGAGCCGCATGACCAGTCACTGGACCTCTCCGCGGACCTCTTCCCGGGAGAGCCTGCCCCCTCATGGTCTAGCTATCTCTACTACTGTACCATTTTATGATGATAGTTTCCGTTGCCATGCCAACAGTCTCCAAGTTGGCGGCATGGCAGCGGGTGGCAAAGAAGCATCACGATTCTGACGCGAAAAAAAGTCATTTATTTTCTCCTTTTTTATCCTTTCTATTAATTTAGTTTTTGCAGCATATATATCGACTTATAACCCCTTTTTTCTTATTTTTTTAAAAAGCAAATAAACAAGTACTACATTTTTTTTTTTTTTCTAAAAGATTTTTTTTCCAAGAATCCTAATCAGGTTTTCGAGTCTGTGGATGGAAATGAGCATATTAATGAGGGGCTTGTCTTGCCGATAGGAATTTGCTTCTGTATGCTAAGCTTTATGACGAGTGAACACTACACTGTTTCTGCCCAGATTACAGCCACAGCAGTGAAGTCTACCACACTGAACTGACAATCAGTGGGGTTTTCAGTCTCCATGATAGCATGTCATCATGCATTGATGATGACACTGTCTGCCATAGCATAGCTTTGCTTTGGAGAAGGAAAACAACCAAAGCGCGATGCTGAATGACAGCAGTGCAAAAATGAAACACAGCTGGGTGAGTGCTGGTGAAACTGGCATCATTGTTGGATTTTACTCAGGCCATGAAAGCCTGAGTGGCAGCTGATTGGCAGAACAGGAGTTGAAATGCAGAATCAGTTTGCAGCTTTCGCATAATTGGGCACTCATGCCAGACAATTTCATATAGATTCTAGTCATGTATGAAACAACTAATATTCTGTAAAGGCTTTTAATCAAGCCCTCATTTTGCAGATGTTAGCTAAGAGTTAACTATAACTTTCTCACATGTTCCCCAGTCAGTCTGTGGGATGTAACCGGGGCTAAAGTCATGTGTCCACTCGGCCCTTAGTTTTTCAGGGCAGTTTTTGTTGCTTTTTGTTTGCTTTTATCATTTCTCGTTAAATTGATTTTATTTGTGTGGATCCTGTAGGCAACCACAGAGTTCAAGTGATTCTCTTTCCTCTCTGTGCGATTTCCTCAAAAAATTGATTGACTGTTGTGAGGGGAGGTGTTTGAAATTGTGAATCGTTGTTGTCTTGGAATTTTTGGGTCGTGATGCTAAGTAACTGTGAAGTTAGCCAAAGACGGACTAGCTTGAGACAGTTTGCTTTCTTTTCCTCTGTGTGTGGTGTTAGACGTGCGTTGATATGTGGACAAACTCGTCAGAAGAAACCGCTAGATTAAGTTAGCTATTGAAAAGCCAGAATATTTTCTCCACAATGCCAGGGAGAGCCACTCTTCGCATTGCTGGTATTTCGTGACATCACTGAATTGAATTCACGTGGCTCAAGATAAACAGTCAACTTTTTTGTTTGTAGTGTTTCTATTTATGTGGGAGGAAAAAAGAAAAGCAGATGAAGCCATTGTGTTCAGTGGTGATCGTTCACGTTAGGAAATTCTCCATTTTGTTCATTAAATAGTTTCAAATGATGGTAGAAGGTGGTGAAATTGACATTGTTATCTTAGGTGAGAGTCTGTGTTGAGGACTTGGATTGGCTCTCAACATTTGCTAGCGAAACCAGCAAAAATTAGCAAACCTAAGGAGTTAGCATGTATAGTTCGTGGCCAGTGGGTTGTCTAACACATCACCGTTGATATTTCCCTCCCTCAGCCACTGTTTTCTAAAACCTTCTTTTCTGTCACACGGAGAGGAAAATCTGTGCAAGAGACTTAGTTCAAAACGACAGGGACAAGTTTTAAAAAAAAGCCATACTCTCTTTTTAGTGCATGCTTTGTCAGGGTGGTTACTCAGTCAATTTTTTTCTTCGTTCCTTCCCAAAATTGGGAATTTGTTTACTTAGAGCTGGAATATTCACCCCTCAAGGCTGTGGTTGTTTTCCGGTCCTTTTTTTTAACCAGGAAATTGAGTTCTGTGTTACTCCTGATCAGATCCTGTGGAAAAATCAGCTCTTAACTCCATGTTTGGGCATTTGGTTAATTAGGTTGTACTGTGGTACTGCCGATCAGTCAGTGCCCTCGTGATCGAGCTGGAACGTCCGCAGCGTTCACTTCTTAAGACGTTACCTCACCTTCGAGACGTTCATGCCAAACCACCACAACACCTCATGATGCTTGGCACGAGCAATGTTTACATCCTCAATCCAAACGCCACAAGCTTGACGATGGTTGCCATAATCAATACGATCGTTTCGTGAATCCTCACGTCAAGCACATGCAGCTGTTCTGGTGGCCACACTCATAAACCACGTGGTGTTGTGACTGGTCAGAATAATTGCATCTCTCAGCTCTGCCATGAAATGCTGGAATCAAGTCACATTTTTGAAAGCATTTTTTTTTTTGATCTCCAGGTATTCAGCGTTTAATCTACCTTCTCGTTTAGCGACAGTCTCAACTGAGCAAGTTGGGGGATTTTCTTCCATAAAGGTATTGGAACCTTTTTAAACAAGTTACATGTGTGATAAAATATAGCTAAATTCAGTTTTTTGGGCTTGTATAGTTTCACCGTTCTCTAAACAAAGCCTCCTGTTCTCAGTAGATGCCGTGCAGGACAAAGCTTTTGAGACTCAATCACTGTCTCCTTTTGAGGGGGAAAAGGCTGAGATGCTTTTGCTGTAGGAGGACTCTTTCTCTTTGTTTTCATATGCAAAATGTTAAGGGCTTTTTTTGGTGTTCCATCCACAGTCATTCCCAGCTCCTTGAAAGTTAAAACAAACAAAAAAAAAAACAACAAAAAAGACTTTCATTTCAGTTGTGTTGCCTTAACAATGGTTTGAATAAACTTGGACCAGTAAAATGTTGCCCTGATGGTTCAGAACTGCGCCGTTGCTTTTGGAGTCGTGACTGAAAAGGCCTATTTCGACTCCATCCGTTGCTCTGCAAAAAACTGTGAGGGCCAGCAACCTCAAACCTGTGTCAGCAGAAAGACTGAAGCTTTTTTTTTCTGTTTGCTGGGCTTGTCAAGTTGTCTCGAAGGCATTTACTTTTGTGCCATTTGAGACATTTGCTCCCATCGCCCAGCTGTGATTGTTTTTTCCCCTGTGTGATGTTAACGATGTTATGAAGGCCACTGAAAACACATTTGAGGTGTTGTGTCTGGCTCCAGATGAGCCTGCAAGTGTCTCGTACAAACGTATTAGTTCAAAAGCTACTGTTATCTTTGTTCCTGTTTAGCCCCTCCTTCTCAGAATTGTTGAACTGTCAGGTCACCATTTTCTGGTCCAAAGTCAAATACAGCACAAACTGAATCCTTTTTTTTCTGCTGCAAAACCAAGTACACCAAGTCTTTTGCATACATGTAAAACTAATGTATACACATCGGCAATACATTCGTTGCATGTATGTATGGAAGGCCTCCTGTTAAATCATGGCATGTTCGTTCACTGCTAGAGACTCTATAGACAAGAGGAAAAAAAAAAGACAATATAAAATGGTGCTACTGGACCTCATCGTTGGGGGGTGGTCGCAGTTAAATGTGACTGGTCATGCGGACTCATCGATCATATCAGACTTATTCTTATCCTTGATATATGCAGATCTGTTTTACAGGTGTTTTCGTTTTTTGTTCCTACCAGTGTAACATGTTGAAAATTTCCTGCAGGTTTGAAAGGACAAGGAGTCACAAGTCTAACCCCATACTTCCCTCATGGCCTGGGGGAAACGGGCATACGCTTCTCATCCCATCTGTTGTGCAGTAGATAGCGAGGACAGAAGTGCACACAAGCGCTTGAGAATTGACCGTTCCATGGTCCACTCACAAATGCATTCTTTCGTCACAGTTGTTGTGACGAGCTTTATAGAACGTTGGCAAAAATTCTGTTCAGCCTCATGAGAAACTAGCAAAATGCTTCATACTGGTGGTCACCAATCCTCCTCCTGGAGATCTGAAATTTAGAGATCAGTTCCAAGTTCACCACCTAACACTGATGCATCTGATCCAGACAGTCCAGGACTTCTGAAGAAGTTTATCTGGAGCAGGTTTGACAGATTATGTTTGGAACTGGACTCATGTGACATGTCATGTGACCAGAAGTCTGCAATTATGGTAGCCTTATGGTCTGATCAAGTTTAAACTTATTCAGATATGGACATTTGAGTGCAAAGTTAACAGGTTGGACTATGTTGCTGTAGCTAATCACAACTAGCCAGGTGAAAAATGACACGCAAAATATCCTTTTAATAGTCAAACTGATTTGTACAGTATAGTTTCCGATAAGGTTGCTTTGTCAACGTCCTGTAACGGCTGTTTCACCCAGCAACGGTGGCGAAGAAAACTGACTTTGTGAGCGCAGCATGATTAGGTCACTTGGACTGGGGCCACCTCTTAAGGTCCCAGATTTCTCCTTTACACCCTCTTTGTAATACAGGTGTTCAATATTGTGGTTCCTGGCATTCTGAACTAGTGCTTGGCTCAACCAGGTATGTCTGATGTTGCATAACTGTGGCCAAAAGAACTTTTTCTCAGTCATACCGTAACGCTCAACATGTTGAACACTTCATAATGAACGACTTGGTGGATATTCGGTGTTTTGACAGATGCCGTTGTGCAGATAAGTCGTAACCATACTGGAGTGGATTTTTCACAACAGCTCAGCTGAAGGAAACTCCATTATGGACAATGCCATAAAGTTAACTACATTATGCTGCTTATCTCGTAGTACTGTCAGACCCAGCCAAACCTTTGCCACACTTTGGAAAGTTGAAAGCTGACTAGGGTTCTTTCTCTCATGAATTCCTGCTCAAGTTGTGTTGTGTCTCAATACTTGAAGGCTTGTTCGAGTGTCAGTGAAATAGTCCACGTTGGAAATGCACTTTGGGGACACAGGTTAATTATACGGTCCCTGGCACTAGTGGTTGCTGGGCCCAAAACATTCGAACACTCAAGCTAAACGAAACTGATGGCTGTCTTACTGTCGCACCATTTAGGCAAAGAGTTGAAAGTATGCTCGTTGGTGGCCATTCTCACTGTACATCACACATTCTGCCCCTGAGGAATGAACCTCATCCGTTCTCCACTTGGTCCTTAACGCAGTAACGTTTTTACAACCGTTTGCTCGCTCTGAGCAAAGCACGTCATTTTAACTCACAGTAACAAAGGTTTAGGTCCTGCTTCCCATCCATCCCGTTCGGAATGTGTAGGCTCACATTACCTTTGCGTGTTCGACCGAACCAAAGATGCCTCCAGCCATGTCCAAATGCTGCTCTTAAGACCTGCCTTCCTGTCCTTCCAAAAAAACACCCCTGCAAGAGAAATGTCTTTATCTGTGTTCTTTCATTTTCTTTCACTGTCTTTTAAGATTTTTTTTTGTACGATTTCTAACTTTCTTTTAGGGTTTTTAGCAACCTGAGTTCAATGAATTTTCATTGTAGCCGTCTTTGACATCTTACTAGGTGTCGGCGACTGTGTAATACTAGGTTGCACATTTTTGTTATTTTGTTTGTTTTTTCATTGTTGTTATTGTTATTATTATGTATATTTTTTAAAAAAAGAAAACCCCATAGCGTGCCTCTTAGATTCATGGGTTTCTTAATGTGTTTTTTCCTAAGACCAGCAGTTATACTTTATATAAAAGATGCGTTGATCCTTATTTTTAAATGCCATTTAAAAGCCTCTTTTCTTTACTCTGGACCCAGTAGCAGCACTGGTATACAATCGCACTGATAGATAAAGAAAAAAAGTATAAATAATAATAATAATAAATGACATGAATAAGAACTACAATAAACTTGTGTTTGAGAACGTTTTGTAAGAAAATACATAAAAAAAAAAACAAAAAAGTAAACAAAATGACTGTTTTTGTACATCAAAAGTTGATTCTTTTCAAAAAAAATATTTTGGATCTAGTTTCTAAATTATTTTAGTGGTTTTCTATGTTCTGGAACTTTGAGCTGAGTTTTGGACGTGCAACTCACTGATTGACGATTTGTGCAGCATTGGCACAGCGGGCTCCGGGGTTGCCTGGCGTAGCCCCTCATACCCACCAGTTTCTTTTAATTCTTTATATTTTGAGTTTGGATTCTCTCTCTGCTTTAGTAACTTGAAATTGTTGATGAAATAATGACCTGGGAAAAACAAAGACCCTCCCCTGTAGAACTCTAGACCCCTTCTCTCCTTCCCCATTGAATTTGCTGTTAGTGTGATGAGACTTGAAATGGGCATTTATTAAGACTATGATAGTATGGCTCCAAAAATACAAATAAAAAAAAGTAGAAAAATGACAAAATCAACAAAAAAATGTGTGTGGGGGGGGGATCTTATATATAGGTGGATTATCAGTGGGTATGTGAGCTATGGCTGTGGCGATGATAATGTAGTTTTAAACATTGTTATTACCTTTTAAATCATTTATCCAATAAAAATTCTTAAAGAGCAACATGTAACGTTGTCAGGATTTTTTTCCATTTGTTTTTTACTTGTAACTGGAAGCTGCAATATTTATTTTACTATGCAGTCAAAAAAACTGTGCCCCAACTTTTGATGCATGTTAAGTCCTTCCTGGCTAACAGTCCAAAGAAATGTCATTTTTGTACATGGTTAATATGTACCTACTGTATGTTTGTCTGAAAATGGGAAAACTGGAATATGTTTTGTACCAAGAATACTCAGACTCCTTTAGCTTTTATGAAAGTATAAAAGAAAATATGAGGAAGCAGCCAAGTTGAGGAAGAACTTTTATTTTTTTAACACAGTACAATGCATACTTCACGAAAAATATGTACAAAGACAACTTCACAAAATTCCCTTTCAGTCAGAAGCGTTGTCTAAATATCCACAAGGTTCTGTCTCTTGGAGGCAAAAACCATCTGGATTCCACCAGTACCCTTGGAGATGCAGCGCTTAAACATACATAACCAATTAGGACTGTTTTATCTGAGTTTTGTGTGAATGCTCGACAGGAGAGCACCAAACTCTGAAAAGTGAGAAAGCACTGAAACTGGAGTGATGGGGTAAATTGGTGGAAACCTACGTAGTTCTATTCTCACCAAAGCAGACAAAACTATTCTTAATGTTTGTGTCTCCTTTCCCTTACTATGAGGTTGCTTGCTAACTTAAAGATTTGACCACTAGAAAAATGGTAACTGATAAAGTAGATCAGTTCTTGGCTTTTAAAGTTACGTAAAGGTGACTGTAGTAGACGTTTTCACAGTTTAAAAAAAAATCGTTCAGGGCGTGGCAACGTGGTCATTTGATACCAGTTACTTTTCCTTCAATATTTGTGTACTGTGCCCTATGCAGTTACAGTAGGGTGTTATTTCAAGACGAGAAAAGAAAAAGATAGCCTATGTCATTATGACAAGAACACTACAAAACTGAAATTAAATTGTGGCTGAAAAATGCCCAAGGAGGCAAGAAAACAATGAGGCATTATTTAAGAAAAATAATTCCCTGTAAGTGGGGGATGGGGGGATACTTTCCCTTAAAAGTGGATCACAGCTATGTCCAATACAGTGAAGCCCATCTCTTCCCTTATATCACCACTGATAGACAACATTTAAGCCATCAACAACAGAATTACCTTTACAGTCAATAGAGGCTGCATTTGTGTCTTATCGTGGATGGGGAGTAGTAGTGAGGTGATCGGCTCAGTCGTTCCAAAAGCTGACTATTTACATGCAAAAGGAAGAAAGTCACAGAAGTGAACAGTAGAAGGCTTGAAAGCACCACACATCTCCGATACAAACACAATATCGTCACATAGATGCTTTCTACAACGTGTTAAAGTTAATATGCATTAACTGTCTTCAAATAGAACGTTTCTGATTGAGACATGATGAACAGGCTTTGACAAAATACAGCGTAGATGAAACTGTAGGAATGACCATTCAGTTTAGGGGGGTCGAGTGATCTGACTAACACGGAAACATCAAAAACACTGTGTTGGCCCCAAATCACTGTTAAAAGAACATAAACCAAATAAGGCAACTGAGAAAAAAGTGTCGGTTTGTAAAGTTACCAGAACCTCCGTTTTAAAAAACCTCCCCCAGAAACAAGGCAAGTTTCGCACAGTTACTGATCTCAGTAAAAGACTCTGACTTCTTTTCAATATTCCAATAAAAACACTGACCAACTGTTTACTCCTGCTCAAGACACAGGAGCCACACAATTACTGACCACTTGTCAATACGATAACAGATGAGTTTGGAGTTCAGAATGACGGCACGATGGTCGCCGAGTGCGGGAGTGTGTGAGGTTTCGTGCTTGTGTGTACGCCGGTGGTGGCGTGGCCCTCATGAAGCTTCAGTCCACTTTCTTGGTGCGAAGGCGTGCTGCGTCCAGTAGGTGGCGCAGGGCAGGCGCTGTGTGATGAGAGAGGATGGTCAGTGCTTTGCCGTGCACCAGCGTCAGCAGGGTCTGGTGACCGGTTGCCCACACTCGATACCAGGGGCCATAGAAGGGATCTGAGACAGCTGGACACAGCATGTTGTTCAGGTTCACCTCAGTCACCTGGATGAAAGCAAATGAGTGTGAAAATCCACTTGTTGGATGATTTGTTTTTCATAATCATTTTTAGCTCTTTTCTAAGTAGCCCAATACATAATATTTCATATTCAACCTGTAGTCTAGTAGGGCTGGGGCAGTATGACAATATTTATCGTTATCATGCTAAACTATGTCACAATATGCTTTCCTGAGCATATGGTGGACACTGTCGATGCCTTAAGAATTTAACTTAACTTTAAGGGTTTAACTGAATTTAGTGAAGTGCAGTATGTGAAACACTGAATAAAGATCAAAGCAGTTTTTGACAGTATATTTTTAATGTGGCACTTTTTGGGCTTTTTTTTAATCAAACCTTGGAAAAATATTCAGATACATATCATGTATTGCTAAAATATCATGATGCAAATATAGTGATGTTATATTTTTTGCCACATTGTCCACCTCAGTTCACAGGCCTAATTTTGATACTTGTGATAGTAATAATTATTTCATTCAGTAATTTCTTTTAACCACTTACTAATAATTATTTGATTTACTTGCTAGTTTGGAGACATTAAATACTTCATTCAGGTTCATTTTCAGTAAAACATTATCAAGTGTAAATAATTAACATTATTTGTCAAAATCAGCTGCATAAATTATCTTTGGGCCAAAAGTTTTTTAACAACAGTTTGGGGAAAAAAGAAAACTGTCAAATCATTATTTAGGCAAAATCTGGTCTTTATACCAAGGAAGATATGATGAGCATGAAGTTAAGTGTTACAAAATATAGCCCAATGTAGGAACACAAATATTAGTAGACAGCTGTTTTATGTTGAGAAGACATTTCCAGATATTTTACAGACCCTTTTCCTACATTTCACTTATGATATTTGTGTGGTTTTGAGTAGCAAAAGCAGTCATAATTCATTTTACATGACCATTTTCCAACCTGTCTTTATCCCTTAGAACTAAATAGGCTGTTTTTGTTGCTGCACCTTTAAGTCTGATATATGTAAATGAGCTCTATTGTGACTGGCTGCCATTCTTAATAATGTCAGTGTGAACTGGTAAAGATATGTAAATGTTCAGTTTTTATGAGGCTGTTAACAAATAATAATAATAATAATAATAATAATAAAAGTTCTGATTTCCATAATAGGTGCCCTGTAACTGAAAAGTAAAAGTAACAAAACTCAATTCAAATTCTAAAAGCAGGTAAAGTGTTCCTAAACATTTGATGGGCAGTGAAATAGAAAATAAAAGAAATAATAGTCTGGGTGTAGGATGTGCCATCTGCTTCACTGAAATGTGTGAATATGCAATACCACGCTAATAAGACACTGGTTTCAAAAGCAGTTAAGAGTGTGATGGGAAATGCAGCTAAATCACAGCCTGTAGTATTTTTGTATGTGCATTAGTCAGCCTTGGCTCAGCGGGAGTCCAGTGTGTAGATTATGGAACAAGATGGAGAAATTTCATCCCCCGGGACCCTCACTTACACCACTCACGGCAACAATTATATGCATTTTGTGGGAGCTGACATTATGTGTATCTACACCAGCAGGGTCAGAACGGCAGCTAATGGTAACCTAGAGGGGAGCTGAAATGCAGTTTCATGGCTGATGGAAAAAAAAGAGGAAGCGGTTTGTTATCACAGCCCTCAGCAGCCTATAGACTGTGTAAAATGGGCTGAGGCCACAGATGAAAACAACTAGAGCTGTAACTGGAGAAATGAACAGGCCTGACTGGAGTGAAGGTGTGTGTGTGTGTGTGTGTCTTACCATTCCCAGCCCCTGCAGGAACACAAAATGGTAGAGGAAGAGGATGCCTGTAGATAACACCGCCCACCACATGTCACTCAGTGGCTCCGGTTTGTACACACCTGAGAGTAAGTTAGAAAATAAGTAAATAAATAAATATGTTGAGGTCAATAAAAGATCAGAAACACACGTTCCACCCATATCTGTACACTTCACAAAACAGTACTTTCAAAATGGTTGAAATTACAAATATATAATCAATCAGGCTCAATCATATGTTAGATGTGCCAAATTATAGTTGCCATTCAAAAAAGAACGTCTTACAGTTTAAGTACCTTGACATGTTTATTATGTTTTTAACAAACAGAAGTTTTTGCTGAGTAGTGACATCAGCGCTCCTCTGATGTGACAGTAGTCTCGTGACGAGAACATCTGGGGACAACCATGATGAATTTTGGGCTAAATGTGAGTGAGACTGTAGACTTATTTCACTAAATGAGTGTGAAATATCTAAACCAGTTAACTTTGTGAAGGAGGAGTTTAAAGTAGGGGGTGATGGACGTCAGATGAAGCTTCTCATTAGCCTATGGATGTAACGCAAGTTAGCCTGGCAGAAAAGCCCCCCAAAAGCTCTGTACATGTGTGTCGTGTGTGGAGAACACATAACTTGCAGTAAAATTAACCACAAGGAAAACATGCAAAACTTTAAGATGATGTCCCCAGGTGTGTATTCCATGAGACTAGTGTGACAGTCGAGTGAAGCTAAAGTGTGCTAATACAAAATAACAGCGGAAAGCGCCTGTTATTTTTTACCATAAAGGAGAGCTTCACCACTTTTTTAGAATGTCTGTACAATTCAGTGCTTGAAATGTAACCAAAGTCATTCAGACTGTGAATTGGTGCACTGTAGAAAAGCTTGCTGACTCAGATTTCTTTACAGTGGTGACCAGGGATTTCCATTTCTACAACACAAATATAGCCATTTTATTTACTATTAGTAAATAACCATTAGTGAACATAAATATGTCTTCTGAGTGTTTATATGTAATGTTGATGGTGATAAAAGTAGTGAATCTAAAAAAGAAGTTTTTTATATTTACATTTAGTTCCTATCACCACCACTGTGAACAATTTTGACTAAGTTTCTCTAGAAAGTAGCATTTCACATCAAACCACTCTGACTATATTTTAACCCTTTAATTATGCAGAAAAGAAAGCCAAGCCTCTACCTTCCTACACTCCTTCTGTTTTTTTTTTTACTTCTATTAAAAAAAACATATAATAAATAAATAGTATTTATTTGTGTAAAATTTGATGGTTGATGTATTCTACACATTGTGTGCCTGTACCAGCCTGTGTGGTGAAAATTAAGCTGTATTATGCAACAATCTGTTCTAATACAGTAATTATAGACTCAGCAATATGTGCTGCTATCTGCTAACACTAGACTATTTCATTCTCCCCATGTACCCAGTTTGGGCAGACAGAGAGCGCTGCGGAGACTGAATCAAATGACCGCATGGCTGAGACACTCTGCAGCTCAAGGCGTGTGTGTGTGTGTGTGTGTGTGTGTGTGTGACTCATGAATCAGTGTATTGTTCTCTACATGCAAACACACACACATACAAACCAGAAGAGAATTTACAGTGCATTAATAAACAAAAGCTCTTTATCACAGAGTCATCATCAGATCTCAAACTTCAGTCTGTTCTCTTTTTCATATTCTTCTCTTCCCATCAGTGAATATCATCCCCCTCTCTCTCTTTCCCCCTCCCTTCCTCCTGTAGTATGACCAAAGCATTCCTGCTCAAGGATCTTTGGGGAAGTGACTCAGGAACTGCAATGTTCAATCCACCTCTCACACTCTCACTGGCGCTCACACCATACTTGCTGTTCTGACTGCCAAACATGTATCCTACAGGTATATATACAAAGTATCTGTATGCATTATATACAAAACTGTGTGAAAGTTTTAGGCAACTAAGAAATTTAGAATTAAAAAGCTATTTACCTGTTTATCTAAAAAAAGTGTTTATTTGCTCAGAAATGTACTTACATTAGAAGACATACTTAAATTAGAAGAAACAAAAATAACATTAAAACAATGTTTTATGTATGTCAATGTGTTTGTTCAAACCTGTTCCTGTCACATCTCAAACACAAGATCAAAGTATAAACCTATTAATGATATTGATACTATGCTACTATAATACTTAGACTGACAAAATTTTGTGTGCATGAAAAAGGACTAGAATCTTGACCGTAAGCCCAAAAATCCCCCAGCTGGAAAGGTGTGTCCTTTTGCAAGCTTATGTAACTGTAACAGCAGGCTCACATGCCAGCCAGGCCGACGTACCCACTGCAGTGCAACAGCCTCCCTGTACGGCTGCTCGTATCTAGCACGCACCCTACAAGCAGCTCCCATCCGATCTCTACTCTGTTTGCCATCTGAGGGTCAGGCCGTCTTCGTAATTACCAACACAAAGACATGCAGACATGTGTTAACAATTGCCCTGATCACGCCATGCCACATCAAAGCCAATGAACTGGTGCAATAGCCAAGCCTGAACACTAGATGGCAGGCTAGCTCTAATCTACTTTTCATACTAAACAGTGCCCCAGAGCACTTCCTCATGCTTAAACCATTTTCCCCACTCCGCATCGCTAGTGAAAGCAAATCAGCGCATGACAATGGCATCACCATATCACACAGGCGCCAGGCTGCCAGGCTCATTTGAAAAGGTTTTACATGGCTGGCGTGCAAAGAGAAGCATGAAGTGCACAAACAGGACGTTGTGGTATGTGTGCATGCAAGTGATCGTTCCTGATAGGCGTTTGTGGTCCAGCAGTCTTCATGCCGCTGGTGATAATGTGAAAAAATCTTTGAAAGCTCACCTCCTTTTCTGAAGAGGTAGATGGGCACCAGGTAAAGCATGGAGTGCTGGATGTAGTAGATCTCCTTCTCGAAGGGAAGCTGTGAATGACAAAAGCCACATTTTCAGCATGCTTCACTTGGACAAGAAAGGTTTATCAGCTTAAGAAAATGAAAACAGATTGGACTTTGGTTTGGAAAAAAAAAACACTGCGGTGTTGGTGGAGTCATATCATTAATCAGTGACCAAATCCTTGTTGCCTGTGTCTTAATTCAGGCACTACAATCTACACTATATTCTTACCCTATATACTATGTATATCAACATCTAGTGCCAACATTGTTGGAAAAATGGTTCTGTACAGGCACATGTTTGTTCATCAAGGTACAAACAATGGTCTTAAGGTCCAACTGCATACCTGTATTTTCACCATTACATTTAAAAGACAAAATTCTAGTTTTTCCATAGTCTTTGATTAAGGTATTATGACTACTGCTCACCTTGAAACATCTAATTTTTTTAAATTATCACTGTGCATCAGCTGACAGGGAAAAATAATATTAACCAGTATTATCATGCTTCACCACCTCCTATCAAGTGAAAACACTTCATTATCTCAGAGACCCTCCCTGATGGTGTGGTTCACTCAGAAATACGTCACTGCGTGGAAGGAAAGTGCCATAATTTCCAGTTCACATAGACTTTAAAATAGATGAAATCCTTAAAAGGACTTCTTTAAAAATACACAGATAAAAACACATAAAAAAGCACACATAAATGGGGGTGTCCATCAGGCTCCGTTTCTTGCTGTGAGAGAGCAGTAGAAGAGTATGAATCATCATGTGAATTATCAATGCATCACTGTTGATACAAGGCAAATTTTAATTTTAATTTTTTAAACAAATAATTGAGCTTAATCAAGCAACTGTAACCATCCTTATCATTCAAACTGAGCACAAACATTTACAGTAACTGGAAATGGCAAATTACCACATGGTCACTGAATCACACCTAAACTGCTCTCCATACAAACAAACAGCAATTATAAAATCACCTAACTAATGTATGTACAGTGTAGCAGTAAATACAAAACGTGCAGTTGGGCCTCCAGAACTGGAGCTGGGACATCAGCTTTCCATCCAGCTGTCAAATTAAATTTAAGCACATAACTGAAATTATGCAATTTCTGCCAAGCTCTGTACAAGAGAATACAGCTCCCTGCTTCACATTCGTATAAACACTTCTGAGAAATGTGGAGCAAGTCTACAGAGCAATCTTAAATGATAAACAGCTTCTTGTTGCTGTTTTGTTTCATTTTATGGATATAATGTACAGAGTAAGAAAACTGATATACATAGAACGCACTGGCGAACATGATGGCTCAGGAAATGTCCATTCATCAGCTGCAGGCATCTTTGGTTTAATGTCTAACATCACAGTTTTTTTTCTTTGATAACATAAAGGCATGTTTTAATTTCTTAACAAGTTGACTGTCATGCTGGATGAAAAATGTGATTTATCACATTTATTTTGTAAAAAAGTTTATTTTGCAAAAAGTGTATCCACCTCAAGTGAGCATATGAACTGATTCAAACTTTTATTCATCCAGTAATTTTTTTGTATTGAATATCTTAAAGTACAAATACAAACATGTCAATGGAATCCTGCCTACAGTTAGACTGATTAAAGATATACTCGCCCTCCTATCTTATGATCTTATGACACTTTCAAGGCTTTTCCCATGACTGCTAAGCTAAGCCAGGGCTCGGTCAAAACACTGTAACCCAGCTACAAGGCTCTGTTATGTGGCAATTACAGGATAGTTCAAAAAAGCACACAAAAGATGCATATAAAGTGCATGTGAGCCCGATTAACCAGAACAAATCTTATAAGCGTAAGATATGCACAAATAACATACTGCAAATCCTACAACGGTATTATAAAAGAAGTAACGCAACTCATAAAAGGGACTTTATTAGTGCGCATATCACATTTTAATATTACTGTAGGATTTATCAGGATTTTATACTGTTAATGTTTAGCTCTTCTCTCTGTGCCTCTGCTGTTGAGTAAACAGCACCTCAACCATTCTTATCTAAAGGGATAGGTCAGTGTGTGGGTGGGCATGTGTGTCTTCAAACTGTGAGCAAGCTGAAGAGAGGGAGGATGCATGAAACCAAGAAAAGCATCCCAAGACACATAAACAAATGCATACTATTCAACTAGGCTAACAAACCAAAAGTGGAACAGGGAATGCACTGTTCATCTGTTCACTCCCAAACTGTGTAGTGCCTATATAGACACTGGAGTCAATTCTCCATATACATCCCATACCTCCAGACCGATGGTATAAAGAAACTCCAGCACTGTAACGTATAACAGTACTTTTCCTGTGAGAAAGCAGTGATCGGCCATAATCTATTCACATTAGAGTTTGCGTTACAGTTTAAATTTGTGTAATCACATTACAGTTATTGACATAAGAATTGCTTTGCTTGCATTATTCAGATATCTTTAAGATATATATTCATATATTCCATATACCCCAATAATCAAGCTATAGTCAAGCACTGAAAGGAAAACAAAAACAGCCAAGGTGGTGGAAAAAAGGCTTTGTTCCATAGTATTTGTCTTTCACTTTCAAAAAATGATCTGTGCTTCAAGATAGCAATAGCCCATATTTATTTAGCATCTAAGAGGAAGAACACTGATCTCAGGCCTCACTGAGCCATATTGTGTGCTATGTAAGAGGCATAAACTGATCCTGGATCAGCATTCTTATTCTGGGAATGGTACACATGGGCAATAAGCGTAGGCTCCCCAAGCCAAGAACAAACAGAACCTTCAAGCCCAAACTAAACCCTCGGCTGACTTTGTTGCAAGGTGATGACTGATGCTGAGCTGCCTGGCTACAGCAGGTCACGAGTACTAGGACTGAAGGGCAGAGACTGTACACAAACCTCAGCACAAGCAGGCTTTGTCTCTGAGGGCTGGTGTATTGAGGCCACAGCCACACAGCTGTTGAAAGTTCATCTTGAACACTAGGCTGGGCCTGTTCCTCTCTACCCGCCCTAAAAGAATGGAAGCTCTCCTCTCAAGGTCGTCACTGAAGACGGCACTGAATACAAAAGTTGGTGCATTATATTTCTTTTCCATGAATACTTTAAACTCAACAGTCTGTTGGTTATAGGAAACTAGTGTCTAGCATCTAGGGCTGAGGCTAACTGATTTTTGCAATAGGATAGACTATAAAGTAGAGGTGTTTCTAGGATTTTAAAAACATCTGGGGTGGCAGGTGAGTGTAGGGGTATAACCTTTTAAGGACAATGAAAAAAAGGCATGTTTTAGCATTATTCTGATTAAAGAAAACAATGGGTTGGAAGGAAGATCAACCATAAAACTCCTCAGGCACATTACAATACATAAAACCATAGGACCTCACTCCCAAAGCATGGTTTCTTTTGGATATTTGTCTTAAACTGAGGATATGATCTGCACATTGTTAAAATCCTGATCAAGACGAAGGTTTTGTGTTCATTTCTTGTATGTTTTTACTGAGCAATGTCCAAAGTCATACATTAGTTGTGAGATTCTGTGGCTCACTGGTAAAAAAATCTCTTTCTGTGGTCAAGAGGCTACTGGTTTAAATGCTGAGCAGAACTCTTGTATACCAGTCTTCATCTTTCAGAACTCTGTGGGAAACTGTCTCAGAAAGAGATGAACATCTTAAATCCTGGTCTTTCTTCTGCGTTTACATGTATGTCATAGTCATGTATGCTTTTGTATTCATTTATGAGCAGTAGTTTGTAGAACAAAGTGTACATGCATGCAGACTTGGTAACAATGAAGTTTGTTTCACAGTTGTCTGTAAGATCATCTCCATATTTGCATTTCCTGAAAGTGGCCATTTTACAATAGTACTTACAGGAATAACTGAATAATTATTTAACACTAACACATTCGATGTTTTCACACCTAGTTTGTTTGCTGAGGCGCATAGTGCGCAGAGGTCGCCAACGTTCTGCAGAGTCAATCGCTACAGACCTTCAAACTTCATGTGGCCTTCAGATTAGCTCAAGAACAGTGCGTAGAGTGCTTTATGAATGGGTGTCCATGGCCGAGCAGCTGCATCCAAGCCTTACATCACCAAGCGCAATGCAAAGCGTCGAATGCAGTGGTGTAAAGCACCGCCACTGGACTCTAGAGCAGTGAAGACATGTTCTCTGGAGTGACAAATCACGCTTCTCCATCTGGCAATCCAATGGACGAGTCTGGGTTTGGCGGTTGCCAGAAGAACGGTACTTGTCTGACTGCATTGTGCCAAGTGTAAGCTTTGGTGGAGGGGGGATTATGGTGTGGGGTTGTTTTTCAGGAGTTGGGCTCGGCCCCTTAGTTCCAGTGAAAGGAACTCTTAATGCTTCAGCAGACCAAGAGATTGTGGACAATTTCATGCTTCCAACTTTGTGTGAACAGTTTGGGGATGGCCCCTTCCTGTTCCAACATGACTGCGCACCAGTGCACAAAGCAAGGTCCATAAAGACATGGATGAGAGAGTTTGGTGTGGAAGAATGTGACTGGCCTGCACAGAGTCCTGACCTCAACCCAATAGAACACCTTTGGGTTGAATTGGGGCAGAGACTGCGAGCCAGGCCTTCTCGTCCAACATCACAAATGTGCTTCTGGAAGAATGGTCAACAATTCCCATAAACACACTCCTAAACCTTGTGGAAAGCCTTACCAGAAAAGTTGAAGCTGTTATTGGCAATATATATATATATATATATATTTACATACATACATATACACACACACACACACACATATCATGAGGTGTCTTCTGATCAAGAATGGACACACAGTCATCCCCTCAAACTGATCCTGGTTTACGATGCTCCCAAATATGAGAGTCAAAACCTGGAAACAGCTGAAGTTAGAAGTGCATCAAATGAATCTATTTCTCATCGAATACTATGATTATCATTTAAGTTGAAAAAAGGTAGGGAAAACCCGTCTTCATCTTTCAGAACTCTGTGGGAAAATGTCTCGGAAAGAGATGAACATCTTAAATCCTGATCTTTCTTCTGCGTTTACATGTATGTCA